GAGGAGGGAGACCACTTTCAGCCACATTTTTCTTCAACCAGCCCCAGGGCGCCCCCCGATCTGCTCCCGCCTCTCAAGCTCTCCACCCGCAGCGGACTGCTGGGACTGCTGGGACGGGTGTGGGGGACGCGTCCGTCCTGCCTCCCAGCGCCCTCTTGCTCCCACGTTTCGCATGCTTTTATTCTCTTCAGAGTGCAGGTGGGGGCGGGGCTGCAGACTTCGTACCCTGACTTATTTGCATGGTACAAACACTTAGAAGAATTTCAAAAGGACTATGTGCTAGCTTCAGGAGAAGAGACAAGTGGAATGGTCTTTGAGTCATTCTGCATTGGGTATCAGGACCTGGGCTCCAGTCGCAGCTATACCATCTATAGATCAGGTGACTTTGAATGGCAGCAATGCAAAAGTAACCGCTAGTATTGAACACCTCCTTTACGTGGAGCAAGATGACTTACATACACTTATCTGGTGTCTCTAAGCTTCTGTTTTGGAGTTTTGGAGAATACTACCTTCAGAAACTACCTCACAGGTCTGTCATGAGAAATGCATAAGAAGACCAACTTAGAAAAGGATTTTTAAACTATAAGGTGTTCTATAACTGTGTGATAAATGTGACTTCGTGACAGTTAAAAGTTTTCATTTTTCAGTTGAAAAATAGTATTTCTACCTTATATACCAAGGTTTAAAAGCTTATAATCATTTCCATTTTGCTGATCAGAAGTTTGGTCTTTCCTTCTTCAAACAGCTATATCCTTAAGTTAGAAAACCTTCAAAACTTTAATTAGTGATATAAAGCCCAAACTGAACTTACAGTCTTTACATTCCACCTTAAAGCTTTACTCAGAAGACTCAAAGTTCTGGCATGACAACGTCTCCTGAAGAACAATCTTACAGCCTGCAAGATTCAAGATTCAATACAAATAGCTAGATTCGGAAACTCCTGGCATTGCTTCACAAATACCTGAGGATCAGCATGCGAAGCATGAAAGTGCGAGGATCTGCTGTGCATACATGACTAGTTCATTCAAGTTTGTCGCCATAAAGTAAGAGGAGTTGGCATTTGCATGGTTTGCTATTTGGGTATGTGATAGAGGTAAAATCTTTGTGCAATTCATTTTGGTTTAACACAGAAGGACAGAAAGAAATGGACTCTGCTGGTAAGTAGTAAGAAAAATTACTTTAAAAAGTTTCTAATTCTTCAACTTTTTTTTGTTGGTTAATTTCACACTTTGTTGTAATTCACTATTGGCTCTGTGCGAGACATGGGTCTGCACAGTTCCCAAAATGCTGATACCATTTTGATTGAATGAGCCAGACAATTCTATCAAGCCAACTTTCTTTTCTCATTGCATTAAGCAACTGGTTAAACTGGCCATCGGTAGCTTTCATAGTCTGCGTATTTGGCCCAAGATTTGATTAAGTTACTAATAGAAATAATTACAGTAATATATTAGTGAGCACCAAGGTGTGCCAGACCCTGTACTTTCATTTACTTCTTACAATAACCTTCTTATTCCTCCCACTTCATAGATCATGTAACTGAGGCATAGAAAGCTAAATATAACTCGTCCAGTGACAAACTGCTAGTAGTGGCAGTGTGGGATTTAAACCCTGGCAAAATATCCCACTTTGGTTCTAATTAAGTAGCCATTTCCAGCCTTCCAGTTTGGCTTTTGAATTATCTGGAATGATCTCTTTATAGAATAATTTTGGTCCCCTTGGACATAGGTCAATTTATTTTCTGACAGACCATCAAAGTGCTTAAAGTTATTTTAATGGTAAGGAGGTTAAACAAATTTGAAATGCAAGACATATATTTTCAGGCCACAGCTCCTTTGTAAATAATGCATCATTCATTCCGCAGATACACTCAGGGCCCCCAGTCAGTGAGGGCATTGTGGGAGATAGAAATGCAGAGAACAGTCTGGTGAGAGAGAAGAGCGAGCTGTTAAGGGTGTAAACAAACTGGTAATGGCATTTTAAAAAGGGGAAGATTTGTTCCACTGGGAAGAATCAGAAAAGGCTTCGTGCAATCCTTCCGCCTAAAATGCCATCTCCCGCACAGTGTATTGGCTTCCTTTCCCACCTCTTCCAAGATTCTGCCGAAATGTTACCTACTCACGAGGCTTTCTCTGGCCACCCCATTTAACACTACTCCCCAGCATTCCTTATCCCACTTCCCTGCTTTGCTCTCTCTGAAGCACCTCCTGCCTGTCAGCACACTGTGTGTTTTTTGTATTCGTTGGCCTCCTATATCCCTGCATTAAAATGTAAGCTGCACGAGGGCAGGGTCTTCTGGCTATTTCAGGACAATGCTTAACACAAAGTAGGCGATAATACGAATTTAATTAATGGATGGAGGAATAAGCCTTAAGCTGGGCCTGAAGAATGCATAGGATTTTGTTAGGCATTCTTGCAAGAAAGAGAATTCCAGGTGAAGAAAATGACCTAAGCTAAGAGTGGTGGCAACATATTATACAGCCTGCTGTTCCGAGAGCCGAGTGCTGGTTGATTTGGTTAAGATATAAAAGCATGGTAGGACATGGTCTGGAGGTATCTATGTTATATAGACTTCAATGATTTGAGTGAGTATGACTTAATTTCACAGGCAACAAGGAGCCCTTAAGATTGGGAGTTGTTAAGGATAGTCTTTATCCTTATTTAATAATTAAAAACATTCTAGGTTATTCAAATATAAGGGTGGGCCCAGGTTGTGTGGGTCCTGAAGCTAATATAATTTTAAACCCTGGCAAAACAGCTGGCTTTGGTTCCATTTAACTAGCTATTTCCAGCAACTGTAGTTTGGCATTGGAAAAGAACAGATCTGTACTAAATGAGATGACCTCTGGCCTCACCCCATTCATGTCAGAGTGCTGAGCTGGTCAGTACAACAGTAGGTAGGAGCCATCTCCGAAGTGCCTCCTTCCCCGGGAGAGCCAGCAACGACGGCTCTACACCCGGGCATGACTACCAGCCAGGTAAGCATCTCCTGCTCTACCAGCTCCCCACCGCTAACGCTCAAAAATGCCTGTAGCCTCTCTGATGCCACAGAACAAGAAAAGGTGGGTGATGGAGAAGAGAGTGTCAAGAGTGATAAATCATGGTTGCAACACGTATCTATGACTGTGGGATCTCATTTCGAGGACTGTGGGGAGAAGATGGCACAAATGAGAGACCACTGATATTTTACTGGCTGAATCATAAGCTGCTTCTGGAGCTCTGTTGAAGGTATAAGACGAATTGGGAGGATGACTAGCGGAGGACTAGTTACAGGTGATGAGACGATTGGCATTGAGTTTGGAAAGGAGCATGTGAGAGAGGATAGAAAGGAACCATGTAATAATTTTGACTGTGAATCAAAGGAAAGGGAAAGGTCAAAGTTGTCTGAAGTCCTGTGTCAGAATACTAAGTGGTCATCTGAGAGTGAACTGTTCTTACAGCTAAAAATTTCTCTGCACATTAAATACTCTTGTTTTAGGTTTAAATATATGCATTTGTGTCATTACTGACATACAAATTATTACATTTTTGGCCAGTAGAAGCCTCTTCATGGTGGCTCCTAAGGCTTTGACATGACCCCAGAGTCTCTGATGGCTTCCATAGCTTCCTTGCTTTCTGGTTGGATGAGATGTTCTAGGCTTGTCTTACACCCTCTGTGCGTCACACCTGGGATCTACCATTTCTCAGTAAGCACCAGGTTCTCCTGTAAGCAACTCTTGGTCATATTTTCAAGCCAGATCAGGTGCTAGGGAGGCTCATTGCTACTGGGTCAATCTGTTCCTAGGTCTTCCCAGCAGACAGAGCCAGGAAAAGGGATATAGTACAGACACATACATACATATGTGCCTATGTTTTGCATCTTAGGCACATGAAATACTTCTTATGTTTTTAGATGAAACTGTGCTCATTGCTTTAAATGTGGCTATTAGGCAATGAACGCATTAAGTTTTTAAATGGAATCTTCATGACGTGAAAGAATTAACACAGCTTCCCCAGGTGACTTATTTATAAAGAGAAACTTAGGCACCAAGAGAATTTGGTTGACAAATTAGTTCAGTAAGTAGAAACTCGGCTTTAGCCTTTTTTTAGCTGTTATGCTTTAGAATATAAACTCACAATGCTGCATTAGGGTGACCTTTTAAAGACTGCAGTATTTTTTATTAGAAGAAGCACTGAATAGCCGGTATTGTTGGTTCTAATTCCACAGCCACAAACAATAACTGTAGTCTACTTATGGTGAGTTTACAGCATATCAAGAAAATCTTTCATACTTTAATGATTTACTAGACAATTAAAAATACAATCGATTTAATCACACAGAGAAGAAAATCTAAAAAATTATGTTTAACTGTGGAAATGGCAAGTCCTTGAATTGACTTGCTTTTGAGCAAGAGTACACTTAACTCACTTGTTTTTTTTCACACGAGGTTAGGTTACATAGAACTTTAAATCCAAATGTCTCCCCACTCCCCATTTCCAACATAAACTGTAGGAAAAAAATAATAATACTATGGGAATACACCCTTAGATTTCGCAACAGATTTTATGCTCGCATATATTTCCAGTGCTGAATTTTGAATGAAACAGTACTGTTAAATACTATGTTAGGCCATCAAATACCTAATCAGCTTCAGATAAAACACTATTTTCATATCATGGGTGAATTTTGACCAAATAAAAAAACTCAATAAAATATTGGTCACAGGCACTGCCTTTTAGAAGAGAGGCAAAACTTCTCAGCTTTCAGTGTTAGAGAACTGACAACTGATACTTTGGCTGTGAAGCAGGAAAACAGATTTCATCTTCAATGCCAATTCCAAGGACTTGGGAGTGGCTTCCTGGGTCCCCGTTGGGATGAACTCTGAGACTACGTCCAGCCTCCATAAGACAAGGGGTAGGGATCGGCGGCGAGGGGGGAGTTCCAGCATGTGCGCTATGCATTTGGTATCCGTGATGAAACAGAATTTGAACAAAAACCACAATAAAGATCACAGCCTTACCAGATAAGCCGCCCACATCCATTTTCTTGAGGTTCTTTGCCTCCAGGATGACGACGGTCAGTTTGCCAGCAGTAGGTACGTAGCGAAGTGAGAAGCAGATGTCCCCCAGTTTCTCTTGCTGTGAAAACAATAAGGATGTATAAGTGACTTTCCAAATAAACAAGAATACAGATTGTATTCTTTCCCCAGGACAGGATTATCACCATTGGAGTTTGAAAACTCTCAAGTTCATCGGTGTTTATTCAATGGTCTTTCATTCACTAAGGTATCATCGAGAGTGGGTGTAAAAAAAATCTCTGTTTTTAAATAGCTCATCTATACTTTGACATTCATCAAAATCTATCCATAATTCAATGGTTCAGGAAATGAGACCAAGATGATTTTTTTAGACTCTGCTCTGAATAGCAAGGCAACACTCTTGGCAAAATATCATCATAACTATTTAATAAAAATAGCTTTGAAAAGAGTAAAACTTTTCTGGTGGAATCAACCTACCTAAATTTTGTCTTTTTATATATTTTAAATAGGAATATGTCGACTACTAGAGATATTTCGGGAAAAGACTTGTATTTATGTCCTACTACATTCTATTTATTGATGAGAAATTCTGAATTCTTGTAGCTAAAGGCAACAAAGTATGTTGTTGCACTTTCAGTTTTACTCATTTCAAATGAAGTCTAACTTTTTCCTTATTCTAATATTTGTAAAATCTAAGTGGCAGGTCGGAAAATTAAAATACATAGTAATACAAAACAAAGCTTCTCATAAGCTCCTCATGTTATTTCACTGGTATTTTAGACCCAAAGAATATTCACCAATCCTGTACTTGGGCATTTCTGCACAGCTGATGTTTAAGATGATGGTGGATGTACAACTTCTACTCTTCCAGAAAGGACTCCTGCAGGTTCTCCCAGCTTGAGGGACACTCTTTAGGTTAGCTAATGAAGAACCATGGTGTTCAACATGAGTAGAATTCTTGCATTTGTACTTATAAACCTGGGAGAGAAGGTGAGCGGCCTCTCCTTAATTCTGGAGGTGCTAGCCTGCTTTCTGGCATAGGGAGTTAGGCATACGGCAAATTCAAGTTTACTTCTTAGTTCCCTTCCCAAAAAAGAGATGGAATTCTGATTCTAAAGAAGGTAATAGTTGTGTCAAACTTCCTGCGGATAGACTTTTAACAGATGAGTAAGGCACAGAACGCCATGTCCATATCCAGGGCCTCCCATGGTATTATACTCTTATAATGACTGCTTTGGCCTGATCGACAACTTCATGTAGGTGCTAAGTCAGCCAGAATCTCCAGTGTGGAAATAACTGCCTCGATGTAACTTAATACTTAAGGACATGTAATTCCTTTCTTTGGGTACTCATTATATCCATCTTGAAAAAAAAAGGAAAGGTTACCTACCTGTTCTAGGATTTATCTATAGGTGGGTAATAATATTCTGTGTTTGTTTGTATGTGTGTGTGTGTGTGTGTGTGAGAGAGAGAGAGAGACAGAAAGAGACAGAGAGACAGAGAGACAGAGAAATTGTGCCTCTTTCTGCTCAAGTAATGCTTTTACTGAAAACATCATGTCTGTTTGTAGCCCCGTTTCTTTTCATTCCTTGAGTCCTCACTGAGTCTTCCACATACATCTCTTATTTACTATGGACTCTTTTTTTTATCTTATTGTGCATATGTCTTAATTTCCTCACATGACTACAAACTTCCGGAAGACAAGGCCCTTGCCTGAATTATCACTTCCCACACATTTTCAAAAAGCAAATAAATGGAAATTTTAGATAACACCCCTGTTTTGAATTATCTAGGTCATGGTTCCCTTCCATTAGCATAGCTAACAGTTACTTCTTATATACTAAATTCCCCTGAAGTGCCTACTCACCCCTACAAAATAATTTACACATCAGGAGAACCTGGTGGAATAAATTACTTTCCATACTCTTTGAAAATACAGTATCACAGAAATTAGTGCCAAGTGTAGACAAGTTCCTCTGAATCTTTTAATAAGAGAAACAGAAACTGAACAAAATTGCTGCTCAAAAATGCTCATGAGGAGGAAGGGTCTTTTTGCAGGATTCTGTGCTTTACCACAATACCCTCCCTGGGGAACCCAGTTCTGTTGAGCAGAGTACTCTTCAGAGGAATGAGGTTACTCCAACTGTTCCCATTAGGCATTTGAGACATGACTGCTCTCTCTTAAATGACGCCTTTCTTTATGGCTCATAATCTAATTCCACAATTAAATTTACAGGCATCCCAATTGCTTTAAATAAAGAAACATCACAACTTAACTGTCTACTTTAGTATCTTGTTATTACTCAATCTTATACTATACAGGGAATTTAAGATTTTACATAGTATTTGGCTTCAGAAGAGAACAGCTGTGGAGTTTGAAAAATCATGCCTCAAGTAGGAGAAATATGCAAAGTTACCTGTAATGTTATAGCTATGTGATGGAGGGAGAAGGAGTGTTTGAAAGAAAAAATGACAATGGATATTTTGAGAAAAAGGGAACTATGTAAATGTGCTTATTTTAGCACCCTTTTCAGATGTACATTTCACTTATTAATTTAGGAATTTGAACATGTAAAATTTCATTTGTTCATAAAATTACCGTAATTGGTATGCTGAATTAAACATGTATTTTTTTATATTAATGAACTGAAGTTACTTTTCAACGTTTTAAAATCTTATTTCTTCTGAATCTGTAAGCCATTTGAAAACTAGTCACTGTTTATTCTGGAATTTGTGCCTTTATGGCCTCTAGCAAATAAAGAAAAACTCATTTTCTAGAAAAAGGGAAGGAAAATACCCAATTTATGTGAACTTTTGTCTTGTTAGTTACATTTTTCTGAGTTATAACCATCTGAAGTCTAAGTACATGTTTTTCTAATTCTTTTCAAGTCAGCTTTAGTAATTTTCTAAAAAGTTTGAGAGCTGAGGAAACTGTCTTCTATTACATGCTGGCTGAACCTTAATCAGTTGATTCAGGACGTTCCCAAATATGATCACCATGTGTTTTCACATGTCGTGGGTGATGTGGGAACCTGAAGTTCATGTGAAGCAAGGAGAGCAAGGATGTGCATGGTGGGGAGGCGCCAAAGCCATGTGGCACCAGGTGACACGTGCTAGGGTGAAAAAGTGCAAGGCCGGGGGTAGGTCGTGTGTGTGTGTGTGTATGTGTGTGTGTGTGCACGTTTAGGAGTATGTGGGACTTTTTTAGATAGGATGGCCATAGAAAAACCCTCTACAGAGGTGACAGATGAGCAGGACACTGACTGATACTAATGCCAAGATAATCTTTGCAAGGTCCAAATTCATCGTCTTGACTTGTGAGAAGCTCTGCGCTCTGCCTCTGCCCTCCTGTCCAAGCCCTTTCCTTCCACTTTGCTATCTGCTGAAACTTCAGAATGTATTTTGAATCTGACATATCCCCTCACCTACAGGCGTTCACTCTAGTTCAGGCATGACAGGCAACCATCCTGATGTGTAAAACACTCCATTGGTTTTAGCGCTGAAGGTGCTGAGGAATCTGTCCTTCCCAGGCAGGCAGACCCTGACTCTTGGTCACCTCAGGTCCGTGTCATTATCCGGGCCTAGACTTCGGTCATAGCCTCCTTATAGCCTCTCTGCTTCCTCTCCTCCTTCTTTCTAGACTCTTTCTCACTTGAGAGGAAGAGTGATCCTTTTAAAATGGAAATCTGATCATGAGACAATCCTGCTTAAAACCCTTGAACATCTTCCCATTTCACATGGAACAATGATGTGCACTCCTTGCATTTCCTCAGGTGGTTTGACCTCTCTGTCTCCTACTACTGTTCTCCTGATCTGACTTTCTATCCTCAAGACATGCCAGGACCAGTTCTACCTCAGGGCCTTTATCTTTGCTCTTTCTTCTGTCTGCCATGTCTTCCCTCCAGATATGATCATGGATTGTTCCATAAGTTTTTTCACCTTTCTGCTCATCGCCTTTTTAGAGAGTTTTTGGATGGCCATCCTACCTAAAGAAGTTCCATCCACTCCTGACACACACACACCCAACTGGTACTCTTCCCCTCCTTTTTTCATCCTGGCGCATATCACTTGAAGTTCTATTATGTTTGTGTAGATTTCCCCCTCTGCAATATCAGATCCACGAGAGAATGTTTTCCCCATTGCTGTGTCATCCAAGCCCTGGAATCTGGCTGGCACAGAGCAGAGCACCATATATGCCTGTCAAATGAATACATGCAGAGTCCCTACTACCAAGTACAGTCAGGTTGGTCTGCTCAGCATCTGCTCGGATTGCCTTGCCATGGTTTGGGTTCTTCAGGGGAGCAGTTCCGAGGTTTGTAGGTGGGAGAGGTACTGGGGCACGTCCTTTGGATCCGCACCTGCGGGAGGGGCAGACAGCAGGACTGGGCAGGAGGAGCTGGGCTGTGATGCAGCCCTGCCACAGGCCTCAGCTGACTTATGGGGAGTGGCTCAGAGGTGTCCTGAGGCTTGTGCTCCTGAATCTTCCAGCCATCGGACATAGGCTGCCCCCACATCTTGGGCCAGGGATCTCTGCGGCTGAGAGTGCCGCTGAGAACGAGGAACCCGCCGACACTCTAGGCAGCCAGGGGAGTAAGTGCCTGGCCGTGAAGGTGGTGCAAGATCAGACAGTTCGTCAAACAGTTGCTGCCTCTCTGTGAGTTATATTCCTTTCCACTGTCGATTTTTGCTTACTTGGGAAATCCATCTGCAATGTGCCTTGTTCCTTGTGCCCAATCAAATTATCCTAAACCATTAAGTCCTAGTCCAAGTTCCATATCTTCAATAAAGTACCTCTCTACTATTCTAGCCCACATAGATTTCTGCTTGTAATTGCTTTACAGCCAGTAGCTTGGTGCCTAGTGTTGATTTTCCCCCCATTTATTTCATATGAGTCCCCCTCACCCCAAACTCCAGAGGAACAGCGGTTGTTCTTTATATCCTACTCAATAAAGGCGCAGGTAAGGGCTTGCCTTTAATGACTCCTGGCTGATGATACTGAAATGAGAGCCTCCCTAGTCCTATGCTTTGTAAGCAGCATGGACACCAGTGCTCCACTGACCTAGGCTCCAGGCCAGTCGGTGAGTCAGCCAACGAGGACCA